TCCCGCATCACCGGTTCAAAAACAACAATGTCCGCAGGAGCAGCAAATAAGAAGAAACCAGCGACAGAAGTTTCAGTTTACGTGAGATTAATTCCAATTATGGGCAGGGGCATGCTTTGCACACTGGCGCGTACTGTGCCGAATATGAGCAATAGAAGAATCTGACATGTGTGCGTGTGTGTGTGCCTTCAGTAGTACAATTTGGGTATGTACGTTTCGTACCCTCAACTCCCAAAATATGGTGCCACACCCAGACCGCCATACATGCACGTGTACTCGTACTTGCCTAAAAATGCATTTGCCGGTGCAGACATCCCTCCACCCTCCGCTATCAAAAAACCCTCACTTTTTTGATTAATATGATACAAAATAGCATAGAGTTTTGGCTTGTTTTGATACAATGTCAGCTGGTTCGTTTGTGGTTTTTCTCTTTTCCTGTGGTTCCTTTTGCTTCATGTGACTGTTGTGCATGTGGAACGTGGTGTTCGTTTGTTCCGTGTACTGATCTTTTGGAATGTCATCAAGGGGGCAGGTGTTGTAAAACGATGTGTTGTTTTCTGCATGATGACATTCACCAAACTGTCTATTGCCTCGCATAGAGGCGTGATAAGAGCATTCGTGATGTTTGAGTCTTCAGTTTTGTCTTTTTGAGTCTTTTTGTTCCTTCCAGTGGAGTTATTGTCCCTGGTTTCCCGTCATGTCCTAGTTCAAATACGTTAATGCAAACAAACGAGTGCTTGTCTCCTGTGTCCTGCGCCCCTGAGTACGAATGGCCGTGATACCGTAACAGTATGTATCGGTACTCTACGAAGTACTGCATGTCGAAATAGCAATGGGGATGCAGCAGTCCGAATATCTATTTCTGTTGTATCTGTCTTCAGCCAAATAAGAATGATAAAACAGACCGTAGCGTGAATGAAAAACGCAGGAAAGAAATAAGCTATTGGGGGAGTGAATGCAATCTCGACATTGTAAGGTATTAGGTACTGAAGAGCGGAGTTCAAAGAGGTCGCAAAAAAGGACACCATCGACATTGGTAGAGGTTCCAAATCTCCCTATCAGCCACAAGATCTCCCGATTTTTTGATGTTTTTGAAACCTCTCCCGATCTCCCGATCTCCCGCCCAACAACAAAAACCTCCGTTTTCTTTGCTACCAATTTTTCGTCAACTTCATAAACCTCAAACAAAGCCACTAGCATAGGGTAAATATCAAGAAAAAACACGCACACATGCACTAGAGGCAGCTCTGGTGCTGCCATCAAATTACTATCATCCGGAGGCGCCAACATATCTTTATGTATGAGTCCTTTATTTACAATCGAGTCAATGCCGGTAGAGACTTGTGGCAAGGACGGAAAGGGTGTGTCATGCAGGCTGCTAGTGTAGTATCCCTGCCCGACCAATACGGAAGCAGTACGGAACTAATACAGAGCTTTGCCTGATGTATATTTAGTGTATCTTCGTATTTAAGCGTACGGCGTCTGCTGCATAAAAGCGGCTGCGCATTTCTGTTTTGATGAAGATGATATTTTGATAATAACGAGCTATTCAACCTCCAGGTGTGCACCGGAGAGAAAGTCAGTTATTTTGCCGCTTCTTCTTTCACTAACAATTATATCTCAGGTGTGTACCTGAAAGAAGTAGAATAAAAGTAATTCTTGTTGATTTCACTGCGCCTACCACTCGGCTACCCATTACATTGGTGGCAGCGGTGTAGTTTTAAATAAAACAACGTGATTCGACCCCAGACCCCCATGGCTCAACCCGCTGCAGCTCCCTGCGACGAATCAAGATGAGAATCATGTTTCTTGCCTTCCTGGGCTTGGCCATGCTTATTAGCCTGCAGCACAGTCAGGGTGCTAACGTGGATCACCATTCTTTCCGCACGGCACACACTGGAGACTCAGATGGCGATTCCAAGCGACCCGCAACCTACATGTATACTACCGGTGGTGATAGCGAAGCTGATGATGACGACGACAGGCAGGCTTCTGACCAAGATGAGGAGGGTATTCCCCAAGACCAGCAGCGTTTGATTTTCGCCGGCACGCAGTCGGAAGCAGGAGCTCACTTGGTACTTCGCCTCCGTGGTGGGAAGCAGATTTTCGTCAACACTCTTCCTGGCTAGACCATCACTCTTTACGTCGCGCAAAGCGATGCTATCGACAATGTGAAGACCACGATTCAAGACGAGGAGTGAGGTTATTTGTCTGACGCCGAGCTAGCCGCTCTGAGTGACCGGCTCAACCAAGATGACGATAAAACCTGGCTCGCCCTCCGCCATAGCTCCAGCCGCCGCCGTGGTTACTAACGCTGATTCCAGGTATGGCATTTTCTTTCCTGTCTTCCTTCAGTCTCCTTGTTCTCTTCAGTCTTCCTTTATGCGAGTGTGTGAATCCTGTTTAGTTTGGTAGGCGTCTGATCATGGTGAGCCACGGTTTACCCAGCTAACGTGGGACAATGTGTGTGACAACGCCCCTTATAGTTATAATGTATTCAGTTCGGTTTTTGATCTGCGATGTTCCTGGCGGGTTGTGCCAGCGTAGTGCAGCAAGAGTGCTGTGGTTTCAGGTCCTATTTGGAGGACAGTTCTTTCCCTTTTGACCCCGTGAGATCGTGTGAACCTTGTGTGCTTTTACTTCTACTTTACGATTTGTTATCAGTTCATTTCTTCTGTCTACTCTAAACGTTATCATTTCCGATATATTATTTGCCATCTTCCGGTTGACGCTGTGTTCGTAACTCTTCACTAATTTTTTGAAAATCACGAGGGCGTGATTATCTGTAGGAAGGGAGGGTGTAGTATCCCTGTCCGACTAATACGGAAGCAGTACGGAACTAATACGGAGCTTTGCCTGATGTATATTTAGTGTATCTCCGTATGTAAGCGTACGGCGTCTGCTGCATAAAAGCGGCTGCGCATTTCTGTTTTGATGAAGATGAGATTTTGATAATAACGAGCTATTCAACCTCCAGGTGTGCACCGGAGAGAAATTCAGTTATTTTGCCGCTTCTTCTTTCACTAACAATTATATCTCAGGTGTGTACCTGAAAGAAGTAGAATAAAAGTAATTATTGTTGATTTCACCGCGCCTACCACTCGGCTACCCATTACACTAGTATAGCCCCAGTGATCCCGCATCAAATAGTTAGGCTGAAGGATTGGTTCTAGGCCCCAGCGGATATTGCTAACATTATAATTATCTAGCATATTTAGCACATTCTGGAAACTAGCATTGCGCTAGCATAATCCCGTACGTGTTGCAGAAAACCAACTAACATAATTTGCGAAAAGTAGCATATTCTTGCGAGAACTAGCATATTCTTGCGAGAACTAGCATATTCTTGCGAGAACTAGCATATTCTTGCGAGAACTAGCATATTCTTGCAAAAGCTAGCGTATTACTGCAAAATATTGGATGTTCGTGAGAATGCGGAATGCCCTCCCGACTACTACCAGCTACCACGCCTTTGCCTGCTGAGTAATAACAATTCTGTGGTTCTTGTATATTCAGAAATCAAGGATTATCAGTGTTTTTTTGGAGCAGAATGCGAGTATATTGAAAAGCAGAATCCATCAAATTCTCCAGCATTATCCGCCGGGACCTAATTGGTGCATTCAGTCGTACTTCGGAGGTAGGAGAATGGTGTCCGTGCACAGTGTGATTGGTCTTCGGTTGAACCCAGGGAGTCGTAAAATACCGGGAGGCCACACGAGATGCACAACTTGGTGATTGATAGAGTGAGAAATGGTTTAAAAGTAGTTTATTGTGATGAGATTCAGTGGTAAGATGCAGGTGAGAATATTTCTCAGTTAGTGGTGCTGGAGTTGTGGGTGGTAAGTGTTGAGGATCGATGCACTCAAGAAAAAGGAAATGGTCAGAGTGCAGACTGGCGATAGGTGTTGGTATGCGTGGAACGTAGAATTGGTAAAGGTGACAAGTCATGGTCAATAGGGTACAAGTCTCAGGTTGATGGCGTGCTGTTCCCACATGCAAGAGCTGCAATGTAAATGCAGGACTCGCACATCATGATGTGTTTGCGCCTTTGAGTTACAGTAATGTGATATCAGCACCAAAGCCAGCAATGGTCTTACACCGAGGAAGACAACATATCCAGTCGCCACATATTTCCAGGTTACTTGCAATACCACCAAGACAACAAGTACAAGTGGCGAGTACAAAGTTGCGAAAGTTCGTGCGAAGTTACTCTATCACTTCATGATGTAGAGCAAAGGTTTGCACGCATTTTCGTTTTTGAGAACCTCTCTAATCTAACCTAACGTTATGTCGAGAGTAATACATCAACTCTTCAGGTAGAAAACTGCACAGATTGGCAGATAACCATGCATGTTAGTGCTGACTTAGCCTAAAATAGGAGATGTGTTCAGTGTGAATTATGGCAAGAAGCAAGCGAACGACACCTCAAAGAGGATGATTATCATTATAGCTACCCCCCTCCCCAAATGAAAAAATACACATTGCTGCATGCACAAACGCATTGCACACGTGAATCTCTATTCTAATTTCAATCACAGCCCTTCAATTTTAGCCCAGATTACAACTTCTCACCCGCCTTCAGCTGATGGCAAACTAATACAGCACACCATCACCCTGACACACATATCTTATCGAGCATGACTTGCCACATTTGCAACGTCTATCTTCTACGAACACCAACACCTATGGTTAGACTACACACCTACACCCCTAACAATTTCCCCTTTCTCACCTGTATCTACCCGCAGCACTAACATTGCATAACTCCAGCACCACTAACTGAGAGACATTCCCACCTGCACCTCAATATCGTATCTCATCACCATCAACTCCCTATTAACTCGTACCACCACCCAGATTCATGCCTATTCACTGCAACCGTTGTTCAGAACCTCTCCATTTTGTTTCTGTGTCACCTTGTGAGTTTTAGTCTTTGTCATGGACAATAGCAACGGAAGCAGGATGAGTAAGTTTACCTTTGATCAACTCAGTCACAGTGGTGTAGCGTCAAACCCCTACGCTCACGACGTTTTAGTTTCACAAGACCAATCACGCAGCGCATCGACACCATTCTCCTACCTACAAAATTTGGCGGCAGCAAATCTTCAGCTTCAGGATCAACAGCACTATGACAACTTGTTTGATGGAGTACTTTTTCCCTCCTTGCCAGAAGTCTCTACGGGCATGTGCTCCAATGTGAACACACGACTCGTACATCATGATGCGTTTCCGCCTTTGGGTGATAGTAAGTTGATGGCAGCGCCAGCGCCAGCAATAGCCTTACAGCCAAGACGACAGCATCTCCAGCCGCCAAATATTGCCGGCTTACTTGACTTGCCACAAAGTCCACACGACTTCAACCAGTCACTACCACAGAGTAACGTATTCGGAAAGCAACCGTCAATGAAAGAACCTGAAAACCCAGCGAAAACATTCTCCTTCCACCAGGGTAAGACGGCACCGATCCTTCCGGATAGCCTAATGCCAGATAACCAGCATACTTCCAACAGCTTGAGTGATGCAGCACTCTTTCCGTTCCCGCCACAAGTTTCAATAGGCGTCAGCTCATTTGGAAATATAGGATTCCCTCATGATGTGTTTGCGCCTACTGGCGACACGAATGCGATGGTCGTGTCAAGGCAAGGACGACAACATATTCCAAGTTTACCGGAAATGCCACCAAGTCGTCGTCACGACCTCAGTGAGCCACTTTCGCAGAGCACCTTACTCGGGCAGCAGCCGTCAATGCAAGAACCTGATAACACAGCGACACCATTCTCCTTAAACCCAGGTCAGGCGGAACCACTCCTTCAGCCTAACCTACCCAACAGCTTGAGTGATGCAGCAATCTTTCCCTACCTGCCAAAAGTCTCTACCGCCATGCGCTCTGATGTAAATACAGGATTAAATCATGATGTTTTCGCGCCATCGTGTGGTATTGATGTGTTGCTATCACCATCACTAGCAAGGGGCCTACAACAACAACAGCGACAACAACAACATCACAAGCCACCACATATTCCCAGGCTGCAGGTAATGCCACCGCATCACCATGACCTCAGCGAGCCACTACCACCGAGTAACGTACTTGGACAGCAGCCGTCGACTAATGAACCTGAAAAAAGTGCCAAAGCCAAAATAGTCTGCCCGGAATGCAAAAGGAGTTTCTCTTATCCGTCGCAGCTCAAAAGACACATGACAGTGCACACCGGCGAGAAGCCATATCATTGCGACAGATGCAACTCACGTTTTTCTCTGCTAACGACACTAACCAAACACAAGAGAACACACACAGGTGAAAAACCATACAAGTGCACTATCCCGGGCTGTGAACAGGCATTCTCACAGTCCTCCACCCGCAACCGGCATGTGCGTATCCACAAGGCGAATATCGAGAAGCAAACCAAACCTGCCAGTGGATGCAACTAAACAGGCACTGACCTATTGCCCTCGCATCACCAGTTCAAAAACAACCATGTCGGCAGGATCTAGGAGCAGCAAATAAGAAGATACCAGCGACAGAAGTTTCAGGTTACGTGAGATTTAATCCAATTATGGGCAGGGGCATGCTTTGCACACTGGGGCGCACTGTGCCGAATATGAGCAATAGAAGAATCTGACATATGTGCGTGTGTGTGCCTTCAGTACTACTATTTGGGTATGTTCGTTTCGTACCCTCAACTTCCAAAATATGGTGCCACACCCAGACCGCCATACATGCACGTGTACTCGTACTTGCCTAAAAATGCATTTGCCGGTGCAGACATCCCTCCACCCTCCGCGATCGAAAACCATCACTTCTTTGATTTATATGATACAAAATAGCATAAAGTTTTGGCTTGTTTTGATACAATGTCTGCTGGTTCGTTTGTGGTTTTTCTCTTTTGCTGTGGTTCCTTTTGCTACATGTGACTATTGTCCATGTGGAACGTGGTGTTCGTTTGTTCCGTGTCCTGATTTTTTAGAATGTCATCAAGGGAGCAGGTGATGTAGAAGGATGTGTTGTTTTTCTGCATGATGACATTCACCAAACTGTCTATTGCCTCGCATAGATGCGTTATATGAGCATTCGTGATTTTTGAGTCTTCAGTTTTGTCTTTTTGAGTCTTTTTGTTCCTTCCGGTGGAGTTATTGTCCCTGGTATCCCGTCATGTCATGTCCTAGTTCAAATACGTTATTGCAAACAAACGAGTGCTTGTCTTCTGTGTCCTGCGCCCCTGGGTACGAATGGCCGTGACTCCGTTACAATATGACTGTATCAGTACTCTACGAAGTAATGCATGTCTAAATAGCAAAGAGAATGCACCAGTGCGAATATCAGATGGATCTCTATTCCATCTGTCTGCAGCCAAATAAGAAATATAAAACAGACCGTAGCGTGAATGAAAAACGCAGGGTAGAACTAAGCTATTGTGGGAGTGAATGGAATTCCGACATTGGAAGGGATTAGGTGCTGATGAGCGGAGTACAAAGAGGTCGCAAAAAAGGACACCATCGACATTGGTAGAGGTTCCAAATCTCCCTATCAGCCACAAGATCTCCCGATTTTTTTATGTATTGAAACCTCTCCCGATCTCCCGCCCAACATCACAAACCTCCGTTTTCTTTGCTACCAATTTTTCGTCAACTTCATAAACCTCAAACAAACACACCAGCATAGGGTAAAAGGCAAGAAAAAACACGCACACATGCACTAGAGGCAGCTCTGGTGCTGCCATCAAATTACTGCCATCCGGAGACGCAAACGCATCTTGATTATTATTATTATTATTAATATTATTACTAAATTTTTGATAGGGCAATCCCCACAGGCCTAAGGCCTTCTTACAGGGTACCCTAAATGTGCCAATACAAGGTAATGGATGATGTACGAGTTCTGTATTTACAATCGAGTCAATGCCGGTAGAGACTCGTGGCAAGGACGGAAAGGGTGGTGTGTCACGCAGCCTGCTAGTATAGCGCGGGTGATCCCGCACCAAGTAGTTAGGCTGAAGGATTCGTGCTAGGCCCCGGCGGATTCAGCTAACATTATATCTATCATATTTAGCACATTCTGGAAACTAGCATTGCGCTAGCATAATCCCGTACGTTTTGCAGAAAACTAACTAGCATATTCTTGCGAGAACTAGCATATTCTTGCGAAGACTAGCATATTGTTTCAAAATATGGGATGTTCGTGAGAATTCGGAATGCCCTCGCGACTAGTACCACCTACCGCGCCTTTGCCTGCTGAGTAACAATAATTCGGTGGTTCTTCTATTGTCTTCTGTTTCGTAGAACATGACTTATGCTGCATAATAGTAGTTGTAGTAGTATTTATTTATTTACCATCGGATGCCTCAACAGTGATACACACAACTTTTAAGAGGGCCGATCACGGGATAAGTGGAAAGGAAAGGAAAAGAAAGGAAAAGAAAAAAATAGGAATCCAGACATCAAGCAGTACAGTAATCAAACACCAAGTCAACTTCAAGCTTAGTACAAGAACTATCAAGATCATCGAGAAACTCAACAGATTCCAAAAAGAAGGTCAAAATACTTCTTAAACGCCACTGGGTCTTTAAAAAGATCCCTGAGTTGGTTTGCAAATGTAAAGGTACGGTGGTGTCTGCGCCACTCGGCATGCAGTGTATTAAAGAAAATTGCGGCACGATTAGAAAAAGAATTTACTCCATAATACATGTATGCTGTTAACAATCTGCAACATAATAAATGCCTCTATTTCCATTTTCCGAAGCAGAATTCCAGCATTATTAGTGCTCTTTTTTGGAGCAGAATGCGAGTTTATTGAAAGGCAGAATCCATCAAATTCTCCAGCATTATCCGCCGGGGCCTAATTGGTGCATTCAGTCGTACTTCGGAGGTAGGAGAATGGTGTCCGTGCACAGTGTGATTGGTCTTCGGTTGAACCAATCTGTTATGAGGGTAGGTACCTGCCGCTTCATTACTCTGACTGAGTTGATCCAAGGCAAAATAGCTCATCCTGAGTGCATGGCTATTGTCCATGGCCAAGAATTAGTACAAAAGTCGAAACATAAAATTTTTTTGAGATGCTGACCAGCAATTGTAGTGAATACGCAGGATTCTCGGTGATTGATAGAGTGAGAAATGGTTTAAAAGTAGTTGATGGTGATGAGATTCAGTGGTAAGATGCAGGTGAGAATATTTCTCAGTTAGTGGTTCTGAAGTTGTGGGTGGTAAGTGTTGAGGATCGATGCACTCAAGAAAAAGGAAATGGTCAGAGTGCAGACTGGCGATAGGTGTTGGTATGCGTGGAACGTAGAATTGGTAAAGGTGACAAGTCATGGTCAATAGGGTAAGAGTTTCAGGTTGATGGCGTGCTGTTTCCACATGCAAGAGCTGCAATGTAAATGCATGACTCGCACATCATGATGTGTTTGCGCCTTTGAGTTACAGTAATGTGATATCAGCACCAGAGCCAGCAATGGTCTTACACCGAGGAAGGCAACATATCCAGTCGCCACATATTTCCAGGTTACTTGCCATACCACCAAGACAACATGTACAAGTGGCGAGTACAAAGTTGCGAAAGTTCGTGCGAAGTTACTCAATCACTTCATGATGTAGAGCAAAGGTTTGCACGCATTTTCGTTTTTCAGAACCTCTCTAATCTAACCTAACGTTATGTCGAGAGTAATACCTCAACTGTTCAGGTAGAAAACTGCACAGATTGGCAGATAACCATGCATGTGAGTGCTGACTTAGCATAAAGCAGGAGATGCGTTCAGTGTGAATTATGGCAAGAAGCAAGCGAACGACACCTCAAAGAGTATGATTATCATGATGGCTACCCCTCCCCCTCCCCAAATGAAAAAAACTACACAATGCTGCATGCACAAACGCATTGCACACGTGAATCTCTATTCAAATGTCAATCACAGCCCTTCAATTTTAGCCCAGATTACAACTTCTCACCCGTCTGCAGCTGATGGCAGACTAATACAGCACACCATCACCCTGGCACACATATCCTATCGAGCATGACGTGCCACATTTGCAACGTCTATCTTCTACGAACACCAACACCTATGGTTATACTACACACCTACACCCCTAACAATTTCCCATTTCTCACCTGTATCGACCCGCAGCACTAACATTGCATAACTCCAGAACCACTAACTGAGAGACATTCCCACCTGCACCTCAACATCGTATCTCATCACCATCAACTCCCTATTAACTCGTACCACCACCCAGATTCATGCCTATTCACTGCAACCGTTGTTCAGAACCTCTCCATTTTGTTTCTGTGTCACCTTGTGAGTTTTTGTCTTTGCCATGGACAATAGCAACGCAAGCAGGATGAGCCAGTTTACCTTTGATCAACTCAGTCAGAGTGGTGTAGCGTCAAACCCCCACACTCACGACGCTTTAGTTCCACAAGACCAATCACGCAGCGCATCGACACCATTCTCCTACCTATCAAATTTGGTGGCAGCAAATCTTCAGCTTCTGGATCACGAGCACTATGACAACTTGTTTGATGGAGTACTTTTTCCCTCCTTGCCAGATGTCTCTACGGGCATGGGCTACAATGTGAACACACGACTCGTACATCATGATGCGTTTGCGCCTTTGGGTGATATTAAGCTGATGGCAGCACCAGCGCCAGCAATAGCCTTACAGCCAAGACGACAGCATCTCCAGCCGCCAAATATTGCCGGCTTACTTGACTTGCCACCAAGTCCACACGACCTCAGCCAGTCACTACCACAGAGTAACGTATTCGCAAAGCAGCCGTCAATGAAAGAACGTGAAAACCCAGCGACAACATTCTCCTTCCACCAAGGTCAGACGGCCCCGATCCTTCCGCATAGCCTAATGCCGGATTACCAGCATAATTCCAACAGCTTGAGTGATGCAGCACTCTTTCCGTTCCCGCCACAATTTTTTATAGGCGTCAGCTCATTTGGAAATATAGGATTCCCTCACGATGTGTTTGCGCCTACTGGTGACACGAATGCGATGGACGCGTCAAGGCAAGGACGACAATATTATTCCAAGTTTACCGGAAATGCCACCAAGTCGTCGTCACGACCTCAGTGAACCACTTCCAAAGAGCACCTTACTCGGGCAGCAGCCGTCAATGAAAGAACCTGATTACTCAGCGACACCATTCTCCTTAAACCCAGGTCAGGCGGAACCACTCATTCAGCCTAACCTACTCGACAGCTTGAGTGATGCAGCAATCTTTCCCTACCTGCCAAAAGTCTCCACCTCTATGCGCTCCGATGTAAATACAGGATTACATCATGATGAGTTTGCGACATCGCGTGGTAGTGAGGTAAAACTGGAGTTTAGGTACTTGTGTACTGAAAAAGGATGAGCTACTTCTGGACAGCCCGGGATCGGCTGGCCTGTCAAACTGCACGGATAAGCCGTGTGACCATTGATTTGACTGTCTCGGCCAGCACTCTATAATAAATTATGGTACGGTATCTGTGCACCGTATGTGCCGGATACGGTGTGGATATGGAGATAACATGTTAGCCATCTGGCTGGTTTTAACGGTCATTGTTTTCGCCAGGTTTGCTTTGAATTTTTGGCATTTTATATAATTTTTTTCGGTTAGATAGATTTCGGTAGATCTTCCAGGTTTCGTGATATTTTCGAAACTTTACTTCCAATGATGGATTTTTTCTGTAAAAATTCCCGATATTTTGCTTAGAGAATTACCGGCAAACTTTGCCTACAAGTCATGATTCAGGCTGTTTTCCGTAGGAAAGGTAGCGAGTATTTTGAAGTACACTGTAAACTAAGTAGTTGGGCTATTTTGAAGTATTTTCTCTTCTTCTTTCGATTACAATGATTCTTGCTTTTAGTTGCACTAAGTTTTAGATTGCTCAGGAGAACAAGCGAAGAAAAGACTTTGTGACTTGGTTTTCCCATTCTTCATCAATCTCAAAGTAACCCCAAATCTATTAAAAGCAAAGATCATGCTCTTCCCGCGACAGCCGGAATTCCCAACTAACTTCCCGCGGCCAATCGCCGGATATTTGACAAAAAGGATGTCCATCCATTCCCGTGGGAACTCATGCACCAGCACACCCAAAACAGAACACCTCTTCTACAAAATTTATTTTAACATTTTGGGAAAGCGGAACTGAAAATAGATGTGGTCACTGGTCAAGCGGATGGCACAGGGTATGATTGTCGAATACAATGCACCATGCATTCGAAGTACCGATCCTGGTGCTCCTTGAACCGCTCACGCCACATAAATTCCACCAAGTATGTGGGAAATAAGGTGTCAGATGTTCCGAACATGCGTTTCAGCTGCCGCTTTGCTCTCATCCACATATTCTCCACGTTGTTGGTATGGACATCGCGGTCATTGGGGTTCACGAAGTTAGCTTCATGAATCACAACATCATGTTGAAAGATGCCCCCATGTATCGTCGAGAGATTGGCATATGCAGCCCATCCATCCGACATGATGCGTGTCCCGGGGAGGAGCCACTGAGCTATTAGGGCAGTCAGTGTTGCTGCCGTGCGATCAGGAACAACTTGCATGATGCAAGTTCCGGTGTCCCTTTCGATTGCACCAAAGACCCAGTGGCCATCTCTCCATTGACCGCGATGGTACTTCCGGTGAAAGTATTTCGACTCATCAATTTCCACCACCCGAGGCTTGCCTTCATCATCGAAGCCTCCGAGATGGTATGGGTTATTGGTGAGGTACTCACCTGCCACGTCTCGAAGAAAATTATACCAATCAAGGAGTGGCTTCTCCGTCACCTTGTAACACCTTGTAATTTCCTTCTGCGGCTCTTGCTTGGCCCAGAAGACGATGATCTTCATCAATAAATCAAGAGGTAAATGGCTCCGTTGGAAGAATGAGCCAACACGAACGCTCTTGACGTAGCTGTCACGTTGGCATCGCCAACGATATCCATCAATGCCTCCGTTATACACTGAAAAGGTACAGCGTTGATTGCACGTTGGACACACATGAACGTTAGCAATCAAGCCATAACGTGCCACTAGCTCGATTCCACGCCCCTGACAGAACTCGATGATGATGGTGTCAAGGAATACTATCCCCTCGAGCATACCGTTGTAATCCAATACTTCCTCAGGTGGAATAATAAATTTACGGGGAGCGGCCATTTTCAATACTGAAGGGAACGTTGAAGTGTTTCAGTTTTGCGGTTAATCCAGAGAAACGAATGAGAAACAATTGAAACTGCTCAGAGTCAACGCAAGTTGCACAGGCTGTTGGGGCCGACAATCGTTCTTATAAGGAGCTGAAGAACCCCTCGGAATCATGGAATCTCCATATCCGTTACGTACATGTACATGATTGTATACATGTACAAGGTGTTAGATACATATCTAAACCTTGTTTTAGTTTACACATGTTGAATTATTGTTGTATTGTTATTGTTGTTGCTTTGTTTGTTTCACTCTGTTTAACCAACAACATGACTGTACATGTACACGGTATGGATATGGAGATTCCATGAGACAGGCCAGAGTCGTAAAATACCGGGTATTTTACGACTCCCTTAGTCAGGCCGCAGGGCTTTCCCCATACGGTGCATAGTAGGCCTCGACCAAATATGCTGAAAAAAAAGAGCATATTATGCTCGTCGCATATCAGGGAAAACGTCCATAATATGCCAAAGGCTTAGCAAGATATGCAAAAAGATATGCCAAAATATGCCAAAATATGCTCGACATAAGCAGAAAGTGTAGATCATTAATTTTCAGTAAAATTACAACCTTGGAATATTCATTGGCTTCACGGCTATCATGCTTATGGTGCAAATCAAAACACATGCGGAATAGTATGGCTGGGGTGTGTCCCCAGCAACCGTAATGATAGTGTTCATCCATGGGGGAATGTAGCAAACGCCTCAACCATTCCAAATTCATTCATAAAAGGCATTTCTGAACGCATTTTGTCCATAATATGAATGACTTTTCCTCATTTTCTTCAGAATATTTGAATTATATGCTGCCTTCATTCCAATATTCCCTTTGTCGCTCAATATGCCATATATGAACTGTGTCACAAAATATGCGGAAATATGCGCAAGCATATTGGTCGAGGACTTGTGCATAGCCATACGTCATGTATTCTAGCAATTCAAAAATATCCAGCAAATTTATTTTGGAGGAAAATCTCTGTGCATGTAACCATGCATCGGGTGACCACTTGACCACTTCCGGCGAATATATAATTATATAAATTGTTATACACACTAGTCAGAACAACAGATGGCTTGATCAGCCACTGGCATGAAACTTTAAGTTGTGACTGACCACCCATCTGTTGTTCTTACTAGTGTGTCACGGCGCTACCTTCCCGGTATCGAGCTCTCTTGGATTTCTGCTGGAATTCACAACAGTATACATTTATATATATATATAAATATTTATTACAACATCTCAAGACTTGGTGGAAACACCGGCCAATGTTAAGAGTGGGTGATTGACAACCAAGGCGATAAATAAAAATAAGGGGAGGGAAAAAGAAAGAGTAGCAAAATGAACAGCAACAACAACTCCGTAAAGAAAGATAATGTCAAATAAAAACAGTGAAAAACACAGAGACGCAAAGGACATGTGGATAATGAGCGAAAACGACTTTATAAACATGAAATTCACATTCAAATTCAAATTTGGAAATAAATCCGAAAAAAATCATATAAAATGCCAAAATTCAGAGTAAACCAGGCGAAAATAACGGCCGTTAAATCCAGCCAGATGGCTCCGGCGTACATGTATGGAATCTCCATATGCATACCGTATCCGGCACGTACGGTGCACAGATACCGTAGCACATAGAGTGCTGGCCGAGACAGTCAAATCAATGGTCACAGGGCTTATCCATGCAGTTTGACAGGCCAGCCGATGCCCGGCTGTCCAGAAGTAGCTCATCCTTTTCCAGTAGATACACAAGTACCCAAACTCCAGTTTTACCCACAGGATTACATCATGATGAGTTTGCGACATCGCGTGGTAGTGATGTGTTGCTATCACCGTCACTAGCAAGAGGCCTACAACAGCAACAACAACATTGTACATCGTAGAGTGCGGTTGCATTTTTTGAGCTGTGAACATGCCGTTGATCGACTATTCATATCCAAACGATAGCTACAAGCAAGGATCGGTAACCCCAAAGCAGGCCTTTGGGAAGCCATGCTTTGATCTCTACGTTGAGGAAGACGACACAGACTCTCGGTCTGCTGGTGACTCTACTGGAGAGGCGAACGTGTGTTCTGCGGGCAGAACCACACACCCTACGGAATGCGGTCGAGATGCAGGCAGCAAGTCGCCGGTAAGTGACTTAGAGGTTATCTCGCCTCCCGAAGACTCCATATTAGATGTCAATGGCCTGATCGAAAGCATCAAGACCGAAATAGTTGGGACAGTCAAGGCTGAATTGGCCGCCCTTCAGGAAGTTTTTTCAGGGATCTCCTCGGCAATCGTCAACATGCAAGGGGAACTCTCCATGATTAGAAAAGAGCAAGCTGACCTTGCACACACGCATACGCCTATTAGTACGGTGCAATCAGATTCCCGTATATCTGCGCTGGAGGACAAGTGTAAGGAACAGGAAGCGCGCCTCAAGTCAGTAGAGCATATGCAACACATGTACACTGAACCGACCCCACTCAAAAAGGCTGGCGATACCGTATCCAAGCCGGGTGCACGTGGGCTGCAAATGCAGCAAGCCAACCAAGGGCGCCTCAAGTCAGTAGAGCATGTACAACACACTGCACCGACCCCATTCAAAAAGGCGGGCGATACCGTATCCAAGCCGGGTGCACATGGGCTGCAAATGCAGCAAGCCAACCACATGGATACCACTACAAGTTGTAGCACTTGCAGATCCACGACCCAGCAGCGCGTATGGGCATCAGTGCTCAATAGCTCCAGTGACAACGGAGCACTTCGGCCCTCCTCCAAGCCATCGGTCACTGCGCAGCCACCTCTCCCACAGGAGCACCGCCAGCAAACTAACCAGCACCAACGACCCCAACAGCGACAACAACAACAACAACAACAACAACAACAACAACAACAACAACAACAGCGCCAGAAGCAGCAGCAGCAGCAACAACAGCACCACCAACACCACCAACACCAGCAACACGACGAACAATGGACTACAGTTACCAGCCGCAAACTGAGAGGTTCTCTTGGCTCCCTGCGGAAAGTATACTTTGTTGGCAATATTGATGACAGTTGCGACGCAGACTCCATAACGTCCCACTGTGTCCAGAATGGCATCACACCCACAGCTTGCCGCACCTTTCCTTCTCGCAAGCATGTAGGCACAAAAGCTGCAAGGCTTACAGTCCGTGAAGACCAATGTGCAGCCATCGAGGCAGATGGGTTTTGGCCAGCGCCCATTCAGGTTCGGCCATGGGACTTCAGCGAGGCAAATAGGCCCACAGCCACCAACTAATCGACCGTGTTCCCACTCAATCCCCATGCACCAGTCTTCTTACCTCGCATCTATCGTGCCCAACCCTGCTCAACAGCAGCCACGACCTTGTTCCCACTCAACCCCCATGCACCAGTCTTCATACCTTGCACCTATCGTGCCCAACCCCGCTCAACACCAGCCACGACCGTGTTCCCACTCAATCCCCATGCACCAGTTTTCATGCCTCGCACCTATCGTGCCCAACCCCACTCAACGTTTGTAAGAGAACAACCTCCACCTGATACCACACCAGTAAACGCATCCCCCCACAACAATAACAATAATTCTTGCATTCGGATATGTACCCTGAACTGTCGTAGTATGAAACATAAACTGGCTGATATTACAGACCTCCTTGACCACCATAAAGTAGACATTTTGTGTATAACGGAAACGTGGCTAAATTCGTGTATCCCAGACGAGATCATTAAGATACCGGGTTACGACCTGTTCCGTCGTGACCGGTCCCAGTGCAGCACTACATGGAGCGACTTGGGTGGTGGTGGGGTAGCAGTCTTCTCTTCGTCCGCCCTTTGTGCTATGCGCCGCCGGGATCTAGAGTGCAACAATTCAGAGATGATAACTGTCGAAACAGGAGCTACAATCATTTCCTGTATGTACCGTCCTCCAAGACACGATAGTCTTGCATTCTGCAACTCATTCAGTCCTCTTCACCCCCTCGTTGACAACCGTCCAGTAATTGTCGTGGGAGACTTTAACTCCAAGAACAATGAGTGGAACAACGCAGACCCTACGAACACTGCAGGTAGACACATGCAGTCCGCCTTTGACGACTATGGCTTCACTATGGTCTCCAAGAACCATGGAACGAGGCCAACTAAAGATTCTAATCCGTCCCTAGACCTGATTTTAACTAATATGCCCCATCTTGTCACTTCATGTTACACATCCATGCCCATTGCAGACCACTGTCCTCTATTTTGCGCATATTCTCCACCAGAGAAACGCCACTCTAGAAGTACTGTCAACGCAGCCGCAGTCTCCAGAAAGGTTGACATGCACCTCCTCAGGCAGAAACTGAGCACACCACCATTGACCGAATGCATGCAGGGCACCAACGTGCACATCAGTTTCAGATGCATGGCCTACTCTGCACTGCTGGACCAGGCAATTCAGGCAGCAACGACCATCACACGCCGGAAAAACACCCAGTCGAACCAACCATGGTTCACAAAAAAACTTAAGACGCAACGTCAGCGAACTAACCGCCTCTATGTGCTCCACCGAAAGGAGCCACTCAACGATTCCTTACGAGCTGCATACAAACTCTCGCGCAACCTGTACCACCGGTCATTAAGAGCCGCCAAGGACACATACTTGTCAACGCTCGGATACACAATGCTTGGCAAGGAAAGAAAGGGTGGCTATGCGTGGTGGAAACGTGCCAAAGCAATATGCAATATTGACCAAACAAATAAAAAGGCAATTCCAGACCTGCAGAACGGCAATGAAATTCACAAAACAGATCAAGCGAAGGCCGAAACGCTGTGTACCTTCTTTGCCCGCCAATGCACCACTCAGTCAACGCCGCCGAATACTGTAGCAACTAGTATAACAATCAATGAAGCCGACGTCGATGGAAACAAATTTGGATTCGGAAACATACGCCCTGTTGAAGTCTTCGATGCAGCAAAGAGGCTGCAACAACATAAATCATCATCAGACATCAACCTGACAAACCGTATACTAAAGCAATTCGCAGATATCCTTTCCCAATCACTATCAGTATTGTTCAACTACAGCCTTGATGATGGTGTGTTCCCGTCCTCCTGGAAATCATCCACTGTAATACCGGTGTACAAGAATAGAGGTTGCGCCAAAGAGCCTACCAATTACAGACCTATATCCCTTCTCCCATGCATAGCGAAACTAATGGAAAAGATTCTCTCGGCACGTCTACTTCGATACTTGATGACCCAGGGTGTAATTTGTAAAGGTCAATTCGCATATGTACGCAACAAGTCTGTAACGGACCAACTTATCTTGCTAACCCAATCAATGGCTGTAAATATTGATAATGGCACTAATTTTGACCTGATATCTCTAGATTTCAGGAAAGCTTTCGACCGGGTCGACCACTCTATACTCCTAAAGAAATTCGGTAAGATTGCTACAGCTTCGTCAGTAAAATGGCTGAAGAGCTTCTTAGGGGATCGACAAATTGAAGTGAAGGTACATAGCACTAAATCGAAGAAGCGGAGCATCAACTGCGGAGTGCCTCAAGGTTCCCACCTTTCACCACTCCTATTCCTACTCTATATAAATGACCTGCCCAACGCTATGCAACATTGCACGCAATATCTATTTGCAGATTGTCACCCTCCTACTGGCTTACAAACCTGAAGACACCCTCGCCAGTAGAGCGAACATGCAGTCTGATCTCGATGCATGTCAAACATGGGGCAGGAACAATGGAGGTGAATTCTCAGCAAGCAAGACATCCGTGCTGTGCCATAGAGCTATCAATGATACACCACCTGCAGGAATCCAATACCAAATGTACAATGAGCCATTAACGGTGGTTTCTGAACTGCAACATCTTGGCATCACCTTGACCGACAACCTGGATTTCCGCAAACATGTCGCCTCAATAACTTCGAAGTTCAGATATCGAGTGCACCTACTGTCAATTATGTCCCAGCAACTTACGCCTTCGGCAATGATCATACTGTACAAAGGGTTCGTAAGACCTGTGATCGAATATAGCTGTACGGTGTGGTCGTTTGGATCAAATAAGAAACCCATGACCACTCTTGATCAATTACAGGCAAGGTTTGCTAGAGCTCTACTGAAAAAGAAAAAAATTGCATTTGATTACACTTCTTCCAAATCTGTCTTAAATTCTAAATGCTCCCTAGAGTCACTAGCCTATCGTCGTCAAATCATCAGTCTCACTACTTTTCACAGATATGTTTTCCATCATCGTGATTACCTTGCTGATTTCCATTTCAAGATTACGAATAGTGAGCGACGACCAAATAAAATCATTCTTCCCAAATTTAAATCATTGTCAAAGTCTCTCTTCATGTTCCGAACTGCTATTCTATGGAACTGTTTACCCCCCAGTCTAACATCGGAAGCCTCGCTCTATAAGTTCAAAGCTGCCCTCAGGAAATTTACAGCTGACTATGCTTATGCAATCAACGGAATTCCGCCACCTTGCAGTTGATTTTCCCCATTTCTCTCCTCATCAATCCCTACTTCTCTTTGTACATACATCTACATCTACTGTTCTTTCAATCAAATGAACCCCTCGATAGGCACATTGCCTTTGGGTCATTTCATAATAATAAACAATAATAAACAACAACGACAACAACATCACAAGCCACCACATATTCCCAGGCTGCAGGTTATGTCACCGCATCACCATGACCTCAGCGAGCCACTACCACCGAGTAACGTACTTGGACAGCAGCCGTCGAGTAAAGAACCTGAAAAATTTGCCAAAGCCAAACGAGTCTGCCAGGAATGCAAAAGGAGTTTCTCGTCATCGCTCAAAACACACTTGACAGTGCACACCGGGGAGAAGCCATATCGTTGCACAGAGTGTGGACAAGCCTTCTCGCAGAAGCGTAGTCTAACTGTGCACGTCCGAAAACACACCGGGGAGAAGCCGTATCAATGCGACAGATGCGACTCACGTTTTTATGAACAAACAGCACTAACCAAACACAAGAGAACACACACAGGAGAGAAACCATACAAGTGCACTATCCCGGGCTGTGAACAGGCATTCTCACAGTCCTCCAGCCGCAACCGGCATGTGCGTACCCACAAGGCGAATATCGAGAGGCAAACCAAACCTGCCAGTGGATGCCACTAAACAGGCACTGCTCTATTGGACCAGCATGTCCAGTTCGAACACGACAATGTCGGCAGGAGCACCAAATCAGAAGATAACAGGGCCAGGAAATGCGGTTATAGGGGTGTACGTTTTTGGAAACATGATTTCTGTGCTGGCGTGCACTGTGTGGAATTTGAGCAATAGAATGATCTGACAAGTGTGTGTGTGTACAAGTAGTATCCTGGCCTAAACTGCATTTGCTGCTGCACCCATCCTATCACCCTCCGCTAGCAACCATTCACGTCTTTGATTTATATATAATTGCAAAACAGCCTATGTTCAGGGCATTTTGTTGTAGAACTATGCATTGGTTTTCTGAATGATGACATTACCCATGTCTCTTGCCTCGCGTATAGTACTTTACCGTAGTCGCATTTTGGGTTTGCCGAGTTTTCACTTGATTTGCTAGTTCATTAGTGGGTCTTCCATTTTCTGTGTTTCCTTTTGCTACATGTTGCTACTGTGCATGCGGAACGTGGTGTTGGTTTATTCCATGTACTGATTTTGTAGAATGTCATCGAGGGGTGGGTGTTGTAAAACGATGACATTATATTTCTTTTCTGTATGATGATATTCCCCAAACTGTCTCTTGTTTAGCATACACGCGTGAGATGAACATACGTAATTAGTGAGTTTTCAGTCTTGCCTTTTCAGTCTTCTTGTTCTTCCGTAAAAAAAGTTGTTGTCCCAGCTTTCCCGTTATGTCGCTCATGATGGTGCTGAACAAACGCTTAGGACCGTTGGAGCGACACTGACTCACGCTGCTATCTGGTGTTCACGAGGTGTTTGTCGCGCTGGAAACGGAGCGTCTCTGTAAGTTTGTATCCCTGCTGATGTTTGTGCTTGAAGAGCAACATAAGTGGTGCTCTTCAGGCACAATCTTCCTCAGCCTACTCAAGCTCAACTGATGAGGGGTGAAGTGGGCAAAATCCCCTTAATTAAGCCAAACTTCCTATACGAATTCCCCGACTACTCCCTTCATAGGCACGATCGACAGCACTGTAGAGGCGGAGGAGTCGCCGTGTATGTTCACTCATCCATCCCACACAAACACAAAACAATCATCACGATGAACAACTTCGAAAACCTTTGGCTTGAACTTGACCTACCGAATGTATTACTCACAGTTGGATGCTCCTACGTTCCTCCAAACACAGATCCGTACACATTCTGCCAACAACTGGAGCCCTGTCTAGGTCTCTGCAATATGAACTCTCCGTTTCTATTGGTAGGAGGCATGAACGCAAAACACACCTCATGGATTCCCACTGATTGAGCTGCGACCTACTGAGCTACCCACTGAACACTGCAGGATTAAACCAGCACGCGTCTTTTCCGACCTGTATTTCCAGAGGCAATTTGAAGTCCTGCCTCGACGTACTCATCTCCAACGTACCAGGAAAATACCTATCTGTCACATCATATCCTCCTGTCGGAGCGTCAGATCGCGTACTAGTCGGAGGACATGTGTCCCTTGCATGCCCACCACAAGCACCCACAATCCAGCAACACGTCGAAACTTGGCGCTGGAACTGGAACCCTGATCGCGTCGTTGCACTGAAATAAGCCCTGGGCTCAATGCAGCTTTTGCCAGCAGCTGAGGAAATTCCGCAGTTATCAATGTCAGACCTCTGGTCGCATTGGCATCACTCGCTTATCAACACAGCATACTTTTACTGTACTAACTTCGCACCAAGATGTACACACCAGTCTCGCCCAGGTCGGCGACCATGGATGACTCAACAGCTTCGTTGCAGCATTAAACTCAAGCATCAGCTCAGTGTCTGCTCTAGGATTGTGGGACAGCCGGGTACACGTGTACCTGGCGCAACCATTTCAACCGGGTCGGAGCTGGGTACACATGTACCTGGCGCTGTCTCACCAGCCTAGTCACATGCTATAACTGGTTGATTGGTTTATTTTAATTCGGACAATAAACGGGAACTAGGCCCAATGATATAAAGGAGAATGGATAAGCCGCATTTAGAAAAGAGAGGACAGGAATTAGAAAACTACGAAAGAAGAAGAAGTATCTGACACATACAAGCCATGTAGT